TCATGACCACCCAGTCTTTTTAACTTATAAAATCCTATCTTTTACTTCCCAATTCAATCAATTTCAAAGTAAAAACATGCATAGTAAAAAATAAAAATCACAGTTATATTTCATTTTAACTTTACCCTCAAGTTTGTTTGTTTCTAACTATGTTGGTTGATTAACTGTGCATTTCCAAAGGAAGAGCAGGCAGTCTTAACTTCATAGAGAATTGATTATAAATGGGTAGGAACAAAACATATCTTCCATGTTGATGACTGTAGAAATAACAATTTTGTTATTATGACACAATACTGCACAAAACAATGCATGATTAAATATAATGCCAAAAAGATGGAAATATATTTTTAAATAATTACTTAAAAATTTTGTTTTTAACATTTACACCAGATGAGAAAAGTACATCATGTTATCTATAGATAATTAAAAAGCATAATTACTTTATTAATATCACACAAGAAAATGATTATCAGGGTAATTATTTAGACATTAAAAGACTTATTCTTAACAGAAGATTCAATTTTGTTAAATACCTGTCCGTACATAACTAATATACAAAAACAATACAAGCATGTAAAACATGTATAATTCCTTCATTTTCTGAAAGCTCATTACTAGGAAACAAAAGTGAAAATGAAACTATAAGTGTGCCATATCACACATATTTAGAATGAAAACAAAAGTAAATAAAATTAATTTATGTACATTTATACTTTTCTCTTATTGCATTCTTAATATCTCTTTCCCCACCATTTAGTAACTCTGAATTTCAAGGGTAGGTAACATAAGGAATTATGAGATTGTATCATAACTCATGCAAAAGGACTTACATGTATTAACATTCTGAGGATCCCTTAGTGTATTTAAGGCTAAAAAAGGCTGTGTTTATATGAATGTTAGAGACATCAGATCACATTAAGTACTACACAGTAATTAAAATTATATAATCATGGTGAAATGCAAAGATGACCTTCATAGGAAATGAAAACAAAAAACAAGACAAGCTTACTAGATATCCAACTGTATACCCAATAAGTCTATCCAGTAGATAATCAAGTGAAACAACATCCCCGCTGATCCTGGAAAATCATACATATTCAGTGATACACAGCTAACCTCATTTTAAACTGAAGTGAATCAATAATTTTTAGACAAACAGGACAGATTTCTAAAGGATAGCCAATTGTATTTAACCAAAATTTAGTAAACATTTTTTTTTTATTTAAATTCGATCATGGGATGCCCTTTCATAGAAATATTAAATGCACTCTGCGTTACATGCAGATTATACATCACATGAACTGAGGATAAATACCACATTTACAGAAACAGGACCCGGTTGTATCAACGGTTCATTAAATTTAATGAATTATTAAGCCTAATGATTCATTAAATTCTTAATGATACATTAGTTAATAAAGTCATTAAAGTGTGTTGTACAAAACCTTTATTAGAGTCTTTTTACGTAATGAATCATTAAATATTTAAGAATTCATTAAAGATTTATTAACATTAGGGGAATATCCCACAATGCAATGCATTAATACTTCCGGGGGCGTATCCGTGGGCGTTTCCTTTGTTTACAAAATACTTAAATAAGCTATAATTAATAAAATAGTTTCTTTTATCAACCGAATAGAAATCATTTTAATTATGACGTGAAAATAAAAAAAATTGTCATTTAACGAAGTCTGTGATTGTCTTGAAGGATATAGGACTAACATGCATAAAAAAGGGTCAATTTATCAAAAACTGCACTAGAACTACTGACAGAATTCAATTTAAATGTAATAGAAATCAGGGAAAGAAAATTAATTCTAGCGAAATTCAATTGTTAACCGAACTTATGTAGAGAAATATCGATGTCATAAATACATGTAGCGGGGGGGGGGGGGGGGGGTATATAAGGGAAATACAACCAAAAGTCTGTATTTCGCTTTCATTCTTATTCCGTCTACTTGTTTATTATTTGGTATTACAATAATGTAGAGGCACCGGGGGGTGGGGGTGGGGGTCCCGCTCCTTCCATTTTTTTCTCCTTAAAATCTGGGGTCGACACATCTTTATCCTGTTTATGTATTCTTAAATGCATTCTACCTGATTGATAATGTAACTGTTTTGTCTCGCTAAGCTGTTCATATTCTTATATTACATTTCACTTTGATTTTTTCTCTTCATTTACTCCTATGTTGTTCTATTCTTATAAATTCATTATTAAAATTCCCTCACGCAAACAATGAAACTCATTCAACGAATGTACATGTAGATATAATCATAATAATGGAAGACTTATTTCTAACAATACGAATAGAAGAAAGTATCAATATCATTAATAGCAAAGTTACGAAGAATGTTCAATACAAACAATTAAGTAAAGGAGAAAATACGGGAGATTATCACGGCGCAAAATGGAATCACGTTTACCTTTTTGCGAAAAAGATTTCATGTATGTATTGTACATGTAATTATGTTCTGCCTTTTTTTTTTGCATTAATTTATTAGTGTCTTTCCGACAATTTTCTAGATGCAGACACAGGTTAATTTTTAGATAACTTGAAATAGGTTTATTTATAAAATAATAGCTTGATGAGACATCATTTACTACAATTTGACTGAATCTTTCAATTATGATTTCTAAGAAAAATAAATACTTTTACATGTTTATAAAATGTTGGGTTGGTAGGCATGATTTAAATAAAATAACACTGATAAACTTAAAGCATATACTCGTATTTTAAAGATATTATATGTAAAGAAGGTACAGGCTCTTTATTCTACTCAAAAATATATCTTTCTCAATGCAGTGAATAATTTATAACATCTTGACTTTGGCGATGAATACAAAAAAATAATAAACTGTTAAAATATCTCTGAAGCGATTTTCTTAATTCGTTGTTACATGTATTTGTGATAGAAGTATCAGGCTTGTGTTAAAAATGAGAAAAGGGTGTGGGGGGGGGGGGGGGGCTTGCTATTACAGTATATAGAATAAGATCTCTGATATATTATTCATATGCATGATTTTATTGATACCCGTAAACCTTAAAATAGGAGCTGTATTTATTTTTTTACTGTTTACCTTTGTTACAAAGAGCTAACCACCTCATAGATGATGACGAAAGAAATGACGTCACTTAGTTTACAAATAAACACGAACGTATTTTGCATTCACTGGGATTACAGTTGGGATTTCTATTGTGATTTGATTTAAAGAAGCATCTTTATACCTATAATTTTGTTGACAAGGTAGGTGATGTATTTGTGATTCCGAATGTCTTATTGCCTATATATTGAAGGTTCGACAAACCGTCCATCATTTTCTTTTTAAAACGGTATCATTTCCGAATTTCCTCGTCCGTAATGTGCAGTGAAAAAGGCTCACAAAAGGCACTGATTCTTCTCCTTCTGCCAAGCGGGCAAAACATAAAGTAGGCCGCCATACTTAATGACTACTTAATGAAGACCCCTTACCTTCATTAAAATTGAGGAATTTAATGAAGGTTTAATGCACCGATTCGTTCATTAAAACATTGATACAACGGAATTTATTGACACATTAAAAATGATCAGTTTAATGAAGCTTTAATCATTCATTAAATATTGATACAACCGGATCCAGAACTTTACATGATTAATTACTCTTAATAAATAACTGATATATATACATGAAGGTTAAAAAAAAAGGGGGGGTGACACACACGTTTATAAATTTATAGAGATTCTCAGACTGAGTTTTTCCCACTTTCACTGGGCCACTGTTGCACCAGAATATAAAAGTATAAGTAACAGAAAAAAACAAAACAAAAACAAAAAAACAAAACAAAACAAAACAAAAAACAAGAGATTCTGCATGTTTCATAAAAAAGGATCTAATAGATAAGATTCATTGGCATAATATGATCTGAGAGATTATCTCCATATCCTTCATTTGGTCACTGTGATAAAAGGTTCATAGAGAAATGTCACTTTATTTGTTGTAAAAGCATGTATGAGAATTTGGATTTTATAAAGATATGCTATGAGGCTCCTCATAAGAATATTTATAATACTGATCCAACAAAAGGTTTATGTGAGATAATATATCATAACTCATGCAAAAGGATTCATCAGCATTTTGAGGATCTCTTAGTCCTAGTGTATTTTAGGGTACACATGGCTGTGTTTTTATGAATGTTATAAACATAAGGTATATAACACAGTAATAATAAATATATACAAAGATGACCTTCATAGAAAATGTATTTATAAATAAAAATATGTAAAACTTACCATGTATATACTCAGTATATAGTAATATTCATTAAATAATCCAGTGAAATATCATCTAGCCTGATCCAGGATTCAACTGTTCAGAACTTTCTTGGAAGAAAAATGGTTGAAAATCAGTGTAAGTACTGAAATCCGTAGGACCATACAGTTAGTTACATGAAGTCTCCAGGGCTGTGAAAGTCTGTGTTATTGTGTCAAAATAAGCAGCCACCGAGGCTCTGAAGGACTAACATGACGTCATACTCAAGATTTGAATCGCTGCCAAGTTTATGACGTCACAATGCATAGGTAGCTGTGATTTGAATCGCTGCCAAATCGTAGTAGCAGCGTTGAATCGTAGTAGCAGCGTAGTAAAAAGCTAGTACAGTGTAAGCGCCCTATTGGACATATAGGGCTGTGTACTGAGTTGACCCACCTAGCCCCACCCCAGGGTTAGGGGATAGGGTTAGGGTTAGGGGTTAGGGGTTAGGGTTAGGGCTGTACTCAGTTGACCTAACTAGTCCCCCAGACCCCCAACCTGCACTCCTTTGAACCCCCAGCGGCTTAGCCAATCAGAATCCACCATTTTTGACCTCATTTGCATAAAAAGTGCACTCAGTTGACCTCCCTATCTCCAATGTCCTAGATATTGACCTCGCCAACTAGACGGCTTATACTACTGCTTCCGACGCCAATGTTTGGTATTTTGCTAATGCCGCTGACTGAATTCTGGGTCTTATTTTACAGTTAAGATGAAGTTCCTCCTGCTCTACCTTGTGGCTTCCATGGTATTCTATTCAGATGGACAACAATGGGTAGGGTTCTTTCAATACCTGGATGGAGAAGTTCAAGGAGTAGAACAAGCCCTGGTCGAATCCGAAACTAATATAACTCAGTGCAATGCTTGCTACAATATCAAAGGTAGTATTGTACAATCATGGTGTCTCAAATACTAGATTTTAAAAATATAATTTTCAATGAAGAAAATGCCATATATTCTATTACGATTTAATGCGAACACCATAGATGTCAAATTCATGCGAGCATCATGACTCTCTAATTGTAAATAAAAATGTCCCTTTACTGGTTATGTCAATATTATTTTAAGCAATATACAAGTAACATTCTCCTTTGATATCCAAAGCCCTTAATAAATAGCGGTTATACTGAACATGCACCATTTAAAATTGTGTTGGTGTGTTGGTGTTGGTGCTGATTTTGTTATGTTAATACTTCAGAAATGAAAGAAAAAAATATATATATATATATATATATATATATATATATATATATATATATATATATATATATATATATATATATATATATATATATATATAGTTAAATCCTAAGTAAGGCCATTCCAAGTTTTTTCTATATTTAGCGTCCGCGTGCGCCTTGGTTTTTTACACCCTATATAAGAAAAAAACACACACAACATCAGGAGTCCTGAAATTGATTAATTTAGTCGAAATTTTTGAATTTTGTCAATTTCTCCAAATAATTCTGTACAGTAAATTATATTGGGTGTATTTTAAGCATTTAATCCCTTGTTTTTGCTTAAGAATAGATATTTCTTCTATTAAAGCAGTTTAGTTAGATCAAATCATTTGAAGGGCGTCATTTTTATGACTTTTAAGCCTGTGTTTTATGTTTTGTCTTGTGTGTTTGTGGCGAATAGGTATAGGTAGGTTTTTGAAAGATGGGTGGACGCTAAACAGAGAAAAAAATTGGAATGGCCTAAATGAAAAATTAAATTAAACAATTTTATACTTGAAATTTAACTTTTTAAGGTCTTCTGTCTTCACAGAAGACCTTATAGTTATTCTATTGTTTCTTGTTATTATTTTTTTTTCCCGCACACTAAATTTTGTGCACGCGATTTCTCGAAGACTACTGGGCGGATTTTCATGAAATTTACAGGAACAATGTGTTATTATCTGAAGTTATTTTATCCGAAAAATTTTCTGGAAATTTTTATCTGGTGCCAAGTTATGGACCATTTTCTTAATTTAAAATGACATTTTGTCCGCGGTTAATCTCAAGAACGGTAAAAGATATCAATGTGAATCTTTCAGGGATTATAGATCGTGATAAGTACTATCCAGGACGCGACCTTTCGTTCGTCGTCAGTACTTCCTGTCGTTAAGAGATGCGAATTGAAAAAATCGTATTTTCTAACTTTTTTGTTTTTCAATATTTTTCATTTATTTTTGGAATGTTAATAGAGACCCTTCTTTTGATGCTTACTATATAATTTGTTTAAATATTGATGCATATGAAGTCTATATATTTACATTTAAAAATCTGAAGCGGCTGTATCTGTCAAGTCCGACATTTCGCGAGTAGGGGGTTAAAGAGGCAGCTGAGCGTTTGCTTGAACAAAAGTAATATAAGGATAAATGAAATGTAAATGAATACGCTGATTTTCACGTTGTAGTTACGTTGCAATTCTGTGTTAAACTAAAGTGTTTATCCAAGGTCTTCACAAACGTGTTTCATAACTGGTTTTGGTGTGTCATCAAAGTAGAAAAAGAAAAGACTACATGTACAAATGAAATGCGATATCTACAACTTTTTGTTGTGCACCACGGAAAAGAGATCTTAAAGCATAGTTATAAGTAAAAGTTTTACAAGAAACAATTTATTTAGAGGGTATAAAATGTAACCACTGTTTTTTCAATGCACACTTGTGTCATATTAAACTAACAGAAAAGACACAGAGACGAATACTTTTTAAAGGAGCGTTTAACGGAGTTTACATACACTTTTTTCTGACAGATCTGATGCAAGTCATTAAACATAAATTGACTGTCATAGGGAAAGGCATGTTTTCGGCGAAACTTTCCAACCCTTTCATAAAAGTGTAACCTAATTGGGAAAGTCCACTTTGGGGATACACAGGAAATTTACAAAAGTTAAAAATTCATAGTCGTTTCACTGCTTTAGTGTTACTTAGATAGATACGATATCTAATGTGTAGAATGTGTTAAATATACTTTCTAAACCTCGAAATTTAGGCGATAAGAACGTTCTTTTTTTATTTCATTGAAGCTATCAAACCTTTTTAATAGAACATTCTAAAGAGAAGGCACTGAGATTTACTTGTGGCGTTTGGCGCGAAATTATGAATTGTGACTCTCCTTTCATAATTCTAAGACATATGAACTGTTGCAGAATTGCATGTACATACAAGTAAATTTAGAGTAGGGGATAAAATAGCGAAATAGATAACGTGTTGAATTTTTACGCTGGTGACCCGTTTCAATTACCAGTGTGTCCAAAGATCTTTTAATCAATTTTCAGCTCAATTTTACGGCTTTTTTTCCGGAATAGGACGGAAGATCTCTCGTTGCTCGCAACGAGATCGTTTCTAGTTAATAATACAATTCTTCATATTTAGGTATAAAGGGCTTAAAAGGAGATAATGGAATCAGTGGAGTAGCAGGCCCGAATGGAACCACGGGGCTCAAAGGCGCTGTAGGACCGAAAGGATCGAAGGGTAATACAGGAGCCACAGGTCCCTCGGGCCCACCTGGTGCGCCAGGACCCAAGGGACCTAAGGGTGTCGAAGGACCCAAGGGTAATCCTGGGAATGCCGGAGATACAGGCGATGCTAATGCAGTGAAGGGACAAAAGGGTGATCCAGGCCCCACTGGAATCGCTGGAATCAGTATCCCCGGATCCACGGGGGATAAGGGAGAAAAGGGGGGTGTGGGGGTAAAGGGCACTAAAGGGAACGTAACAATAGGTGCTGCTGGGTCCAGCGGAGATCAAGGCCCTAAAGGAGATCCAGGAGAAAAGGGGGAACAAGGAGTCCAGGGAAATAACGCCACCAATTCTAACCCCCAACAGCAGCAGCAGCAAAACGGGGCCGGGTCTTTCCTGATCAGCATGTCCACCGCCATAGGAGTGTATTTCCTGGCAGTCTGTTTCATCTCTTCAATGAATTGGAATATTGAATTATTTTAAAGAAACAATACCACACTGAGGATTTTTTTGGATGGGTTTTTCGTATTAAACGTTGATTTTATACTCGTATATCCTGACATTTAAAAACTTAAGATCTATCAATGAATAAAGATTGAATTGGTTTTCCCGTTTTACTATTATATGGTTTCTAAGTGTTCACTTTGATAAATGTATTTATTAAAAAACTACATGATTAATTGTATGATATTTAATTATCACCGATAAAATCAAATGTCCCGTTTTGGGAGTTTCAAAACAATAAATCTGTACAATAACAATAAAAAATAGAAACAAGGTTCAAAATTCACATGGCAAACTTTAATTGGAAATTGTGTATATTAACTAAGTTGTTAATTGTAAACGGACGTATTGGTGCTAACTCATTAGGAGAGGTGACGTGTAAAGGTTTGAGCACTGTAGACTGCATGATTATTCACTTCATAAGTATGTCATGAATATGCAAGTACTTGAACAAAACAAATTATTTTCTGATGTTCATAAACCTTTTGCTTTGCATTAAAAACTACAAAAAAGTGATTTCAGTATGAATTGTTGGAGTGCAACGGAATGTGTAGAAAAAAATCAAACCATGGGATTCTTCTAGAGAACATGTACAAGTGTATATGTACAGTCTATTGATACTGATCAACTAAATCAAGTTTTAGCATTGTTAGATTTAAGCAAATTATATATCATTCCTAAATGTGCATAAAGTTAATAAAAAAAATTGTTTTAAAAAAATCTTTTGAGCAAAAAAGTTTAATACCACGTGTTTTATTTATTTTCTCATGGGTTTGTCTAAATGCCGTTATCTGATTGGTCAGAAAGATAGACACCTTGTTTATCCTGACAAGTGTATTCATAGCAATTCACGGTTATCTTTCTTGACTTCCATATTTGGAAATCGTCCAGACCTGTTTAAAGACTTAAATAAAGCTCCGGGAATAGATGTAGAAATTAATCAAATAGTTGATAATGATATAGATAGCTTAACAGTGCATAGATCTTAACCAAGACCTTAATAAATATATAAATCATGCAGAGTAAAATTAAAAAAGCTATAAAAAAAATCTGGAAAACAATAAATCGAGTGGGGAAGATGGTATAAATCAAAGTACTCAGAAGTACAGAGAGCCGGTCTCATTTACAGAGTAGAATGAATTTCTTACATGAATCACGTTTATATTTTGATGAAAAAATTATTTTAAAACTATCAATATAAATGATAAAACACTGACAGTGAGTTTTTCAATCCTAATACCACGGTTCGATTTTGTCAGAATCAGAATTAATCTGGTACCGCAGCTGAATGTAAACAAACAGGCCAGCCTGGTTCCCTCTCCTGCTTTACTCGTATGTGTAGAGAACTACGATAACACTGGTTATCAAAAATCCTTACGCTAATGAACTATGCTCATTGACTTAGGACTGAAGTTTTCAAAGTCATTACTACTAATGTTTATTTATGTAGATTAAACTCCGTTTCATTTTTGTTGTTTTATTTAGCGTTTATATTATCTCAAAAGCGGTTGAGAGTAAAAACTATATTTTTTCACGTAACTTTAAAATGGCGACTATGGGGTCAACTTCCTGCCTTGAAACGTACGCTGAACTAGGACCTGGGGTCCCCCGCAAATAGTTCGTCATTTTGCGTAGTAATAAAACATTCTAGGAACTCTCCAGGCATTAAAGGCACAAAAGTAAACTCATCGATATCAATACGGAGACCTCAGGTCACCTTATATATTAATTGAATTTTATATTTTACTCCAAAATAATCATATCTATAACTTTATAAAGATCAATTTTCTAATATATATATTAGCAGAAACGTGAAAGCAATAAAGGGTGACCAGAGGTAACCTCATATTGTACATCAATAGGGGGACCAAAGATCACCTTACATTGTACATCAGTAGGGGAACCAGAGGCCACCTTATATTTACCATCATTAGGGAGACCAGTGGTCACCTTATATTGTACATCATCAGAGGGATCATAGGTCATCTTACATTTTAAATCAATAGGGGTCCAAAGGTAATCTTTTATTGCACTTAATAGCAGTGAATAGGGGGGCATGGGGATACCTTATATCGTACATCATTTGGGGGACCAGAGGTCACCCTATATTGTACATCAGAAGGGGGACTGCAGGTAACCTAATATTGTACTGTACATCAGTAGAGGGACCAGATGACACCTTATAATGTACATCAGTAGGGAGACTAGAGGGCACCTTATATTGTGCATCAGTGGGGGGGGGGGGGACAGAGGACACCTTATACTATAATACATCTGTAGGGGGACCAGCGGCCACCTTATATTGTACATAAGTAAGGGGAGGGGGCAGAGGTCACCTTATATTGTACATCAGTAGGGGGACGAGAGGACACTTTATATTGTACATCACTACGGGGCCCAGAGGTCACCCGATATTTTACATTAGTACGGGATCTAGTGGTCACCTAATATTGTACTGTACATCAGTAGAGAGACCAGAGGTCACCTTATATTGTACATCAGTAGGGGGACCAGAGGACACCTTATACTATACATCTGTAGAAGACCAGAGGACACCTTATTATGTACATCAGTAGGGGGACCAGAGGTCACCTTATATTATACATCAGTAGGAGGAACAGAGTTCACCTAATATTGAACATCAGAAGGGGGACCAGAGATCACCGTATATTGTACATCAGTAGGGGGACCAGAGGTCACCTTATATTCATCAACATTACATTATAGAAGGAAGACCAGAGGTCTTAGTATTAAACATATGTACCTTATATCAGTAGGGTCACCTTATATCTAACATCAGAAAGATGACCAGAGGACACCTTATATTTAACACCAGAAAGGAGACAAGAGGTCACCTTATATTGTACATCAGTAAGGGGATGAGAGGTCACTTTATATTAATCATCAGCAGTTGTACCAGGGGTCACCTTATATTGTACATCAGTAGGGTGACCAGAGGACACCTTATATAGTACATCAGTACGGGGACCAGAGGTCACCCGATATTTTTCATTAGTACGGAGACTAGTGGTCACCTAATATTGAACTGTACATCAGTAGAGGGACCAGAGGTCACTTTATATTGAACATCAGTAGGATGACCAGAGATCACCTTGTATTGTACATCAGCAGGGGGACCAAGGGTCACCTTATATTGTACATCAGAAAGGGGACCAGAGGTCACCTTATATTGTTCATCAGTAGGGGGACCAGAGGCTACATTATATTGTTCATCAGTAAGGGGGACCAGAGGTCACCTTATACCATACATTAGTAGGGGGACCAGGGGTCACCTTATATTGCACATCGGTGGAGGGACCAGAGGCCACTTTATATTGTATATCAGTAGGGGGACCAGGGGTCACCTTATATTTAAAATCAGAAGGGGGACCAGAGGTCATCTTATATTGTACATCAGTAGGGGGACCAGAGGTCACCTTATATTTAACACCAGAAGGGGGACTAGAGGTCACCTTATATTGTACATCAGTAAGGGGATGAGAGGTCACTTTATATTGATCATCAGCAGGGGTACCAGGGGTCACCTTATATTGTACATCAGTAGGGTGACCAAAGGACACCTTATATTGTACATCAGCAAGGGGACCAGAGGTCAGCTTACATTGTACATTAGAAGGGGACAAGAGGACATCTTATATTGTACATCAGTAGGGGAACCTGAGGCCACTTTTTATTGTACACCAGTAGGGGGACCAGAGGTCACCTTATATTTAACATCAGTAGGATGACCAGAGATCACCTTATATTGTACATCAGCAGGGGGACCAAGGGTCACCTTATATTGTACATCAGAAGGGGGACCAGAGGTCACCTTATATTGTTCATCAGTAGGGGGACCAGAGGCTACATTATATTATTGATCAGTAAAGGGGACCAGAGGTCACCTTATACCATGCATTAGTAGGGGGACCAGGGGTCACCTTATATTGTACATCAGTGGAGGGACCATAGGACACTTTATATTGTATATCAGGAGGGGGACCAGATATCACCTTATATTTAAAATCAGAAGGGGGACCAGAGGTCATCTTATATTGTACATCAGTAGGGGGACCAGAGGTCACCTTATATTTAACACCAGAAGGGGGACTAGAGGTCACCTTATATTGTACATCAGTAAGGGGATGAGATGTCACTTTATATTGATCATCAGCAGGGGTGCCAGGGGTCACCTTATATTGTACATCAGTAGGGTGACCAGAGAACACCTTATATTGTACATCAGCAAGGGGACCAGAGGTCGGCTTACATTGTACATTAGAAGGGGATCAGAAGACATCTTATATTGTACATCAGTAGGGGGACCTGAGGCCACTTTTTATTGTATATAAGTAGGGAAACCAGAGGTCACCTTTAATTGAACATCAGAAGGGGAACCAGAGGTCACCTTATATTGCGCATCAGTAAGGGAATCAGAGGACACTTTATATTGTACATCAGTAGGGGGACCAGGGGTCACCTTATATTGTGAATCAGTAGGACCAGAGCCCACCTTATACTGTACACCAGTAGGAGGACCAGAGGTCACCTCATATTGTACATCAGTAGGGGACCTGTAAGGGGACCAGAGGTCACCTTATATTATACATCAGTAGGAGGACTAGAGGTCACCTCATATTGTACATCAGAAGGGGGACCAGATGTCACCTTATATTGTACATCAGTAAGGGGATCAGAGGCCACTTTATATTGCACATCAGTAGGGGGACCAGAGGACACCTGATATTGTACATCGGTAGGTCACCTTATTCAAGGGTCGTTTAATAAATAATGTCTTCGGTGCTCGGAAAGAAACAAAAGTTGCTTTTCAATAATTTAGGTATGATGATTTAACCGAAAATTATCTTTTCATTAAAGCACATGTAAGTAACATTTTTTATCCAATTTCTGATTCATTTTCAATTGTTTTTTGAACTCATTTTCTGGTATGAACCTTTGTACAGTGTATACTGGATTAT